TATATATATATATATATATATATATATATATATATATATATATATATATATATATATATATTTATATTTATATTTATATTTATATTTATATTTATATATGTAGCCCTGACATGCCCCCAAAGAGCGTTCAGCAGATATCTAAACTGTTGCAATGTATCATTAAACCGTTTACAAAGCGCTGAGTTCTGCTGAACGTAGCCATTAGATGTTTACGTGTAGCAATCGGATTTCCAATCAGATTGATATAATCGCAGTAATGTAAATTGTCTAGAGAGAAAGTTCCCTAGGCTAATCGGAGGTTTGTTCTTTTCAACTGAACTAGTGCTGCACTAGAACTGTACTTGCATTAAGTAATGCATCTCAATTGCCCGCAGAACCTATCTGAGATAGGGTGTATATCAGTTGGACACGGGGCAATTGGACACAGTCCAATCACAAGTCGCTGTTCCAAGGGACCCTACAAATGTCTCTAATCACACGGTGCTGTGATTGGCTGTGTCCAAATGCACCGTGTCCAAGTGCACCGCTCCCTCTGAGATATTGTCACCTTCATTCCTTTTAATTTCTGCAATATTCATCTCTTCCATCTTCATAGATCTGTTCTTTTCACCTGAACTACTTGCACAGATACAGTAACTTTTACCCTTGCACTGCACTGCACTGCTTGCACTAGCTCCAGACTCAGTGCAAGCAGTTCAGTGAACTGTTGCACTAAGTTCTACTGCACCGTTGGAAAGAACAGTAACCTCTGACAAACTTCTACTAGAAAGAACGCACCAGTGTACACTTCTTGAATTAGTGCAAGTTCAGCTGGAAAGAACAAACCTCGGATTACCAAATCGCGTCCGTGAAGGACGGATCGGATTAACGGATGCAGAGGAACGTTGCGTACATACTTATGTCTCTTAAGAAATAAATATTAAGAAGTAAATAGAAAAGTATGTGCATTGTTATTTTCATTATAATTAACATGTATTCTTCTGCAGATGTATATAGATAAATAAAGATTTATTTCTATTTTATTGATATGTATGTATTAAAGAAATAAATACATCTTAACCTAAATGTGTTTAAATCGTTAACATACAAGTTTATTAAAATATAAAATATTTTCAGAGTTAAGGAATTATGAAAATGAATGAGAAAGGAATGTTTGAACAGAGTCAATTTGAGATATATATATATATATATATATATATATATATATATATATATATATATATATATTTAATTATTTTTATTTAATTATTTAAATGTCGAACCCTATACATAGTTTAGTCATATATAAAAATCTGTGCTTGCATGGTAAGACTTTAATACAACTTTAATACAACTGCAACTGTATGTTAGACGATCTTTTAGAATTTTGAATGATGAACTTTATGAAACTAATAAGATTGTATAAGAGTCTTAGGAGCAAACGCTACAAATAATTGCAGACTTGATTACAAGAAAGCAAAAGAGGCTACAAATAATTGCAAACCTGATTACAAGAAAACAAAAACTTCTTTAAGAAAAGATAACCATGGAAGAAACTCAAAAATATGATTTTCAAGATGCATTTATTAATATACTGGACGATGATTGCTTAATACATATTTTTCAATTTTTACCAATTGTTGACAAAATCCGTATAGAAAGAGGTAAGAAATTCAATAAATATAATTTACAGTTATTTCTATTGCCTCATATAGATATATTTCTTTATATTATCTGCTTAATGATTATATTTATACTATTATGATATATATATGATTATGATATGTTTGCACTATTTACTTAGAATGCTTTCCAGTTGCGTACACTGTGTTACACTGTGTTACACAAAACCAATTTATTGGTTGCAAATTATTTTACAAGATATTTTAGATAATATGTGACCAATAAACTGGTTTTACATGTGTGTCAAGATGTGTTAAGCAATTGAAAAGCATCCTTACTATTTTTGTAGTGTGCAAACGTTGGAGAATATTAAGTCTAGATTCTTGGTATACAATGAAGAAAATAGATACCTCATTCCTATTAGAAGGCTTTCCAACACATCATCGAATCACTGAATTTATACTGAAGAAAGTGATGAAAACGTTATCAAGAAATGGCAGATTTATAACAGAATTACATCTGTCCTGTCCAGCAACAATGTTTCCATCTGATGTAGCTCAGTTTAACAGAAAACTATTCGATATAGTCATGAAATATTGTTCCAATCTTACTAATATTAATGTTTCTATGATAACAATTAATAAAAAGGACAAACAATTATTAGGCAGATATAAAAACATAACTAGGCTTACTTTGGGAACGTTTTACAACTTAGATAAACAAGAAACATTTTTCCAAGAATATCCACAGCTCAACTATTTGCAAATACTTTCTAATTTTGACTTTGTGGGTAAGTGTTTACCATACTTGCCAGCCCAGACAATGCGCACTCTTATATTATGTGACTGCCCGAGGATTAATGAAATTACATTTTCCATGGTAAGTCTTTCTTTTTAATTTTTTTTTTTTTTGTAATGGTTGATATAAATGTGTACATAACGTTAATTATATTTCAATATAGGGATTGGCAAAACTCGAAAATTTAGAACATCTTTATATAAGTTATTTCAAATTTGGTAGAAAAACTATGGAAACTATCAGCAATTATTGCAAAAAGCTAAAAATATTACAAATTTCCAAGCGCAAGATTTGTACAACCAGCTTTCTACAAGATATGGCTGCGTTACAATTTACTAACCTTATTAACTTGCAGAAACTAAAAATGAAAAACTTTCCATTTTCACCCCAACATTTCGTTGAGATAACAATGAATTGTCAACAGATTACTTCTCTAGATATTTCTGGTAAATTATAAAACCGTATATCTTTAAATTTTTATTCAGGATTCACATCGCGTCCGACGTCCAACGTACGACGTCCGATATTCAATAAAAAAATAGCTTTCCAATGGAGAATTGAATTCTATATTAGAAAGCTGTTCTCCTATTGGATATTAGACGTCGTACGTCGGACATCGGACGCAATGTGAATCCTACATGAGTGTTCTAAATATTTCAAACGTATGATTTTTCATTCGATTTTAGGTAGCTCTTGTGATGATATTTCACTAAAAATTATTGCAACATTACCAAAATTAGAATATTTAAACATTAGTTATGTGTGTGGAATTACCGATTATGGTTTGAAAAATCTAAAGAACCTAAAAGGATTGAGATGTAAAAAATGTAGAAACATAACAGATAATGGGATATACGAAATTCTTAATTTTTCACCTCAATTACAACTACTAGATCTTACCTATTGCAGCAGGATTACAAACAATATTTACGAAGTTGCTAAAGTAATTCATGATGATAAACCTGGTAAAATGGTACTAAAAATCTATAATTTCGGAACACAAATTTTTTTAACAGATAAACATAAGGTGCATCCGACAGTACAACTAATCAATATTGTAGTGAGTTCAATTTTCCTTCTTATAGTTTAGGTATGATCGGGAATTTCTATTCAATTAGCCAGTCTTATTAAAAATATTTGAGATGCTTGATTGTGTAGAATTAAATTATTATCTTGGCTTCAGGAACAATTGCAGCAATACACACGTCAAAGAATGAGACAAAGAATTTCAAAACGCAATGTGGATTTGATATGCACTAGAGAGAACAGATAAGAATGAGAGAGGCCATCTTGGTAATTATCGGAGTCGCAACGAATTATTATTTGATAGACTTAGGGTGCTTTCCAATTGCTTAACACATCTTGACAACACGTACACAACAAGTTTACATCACATATTATCTAAAATATCTTGTAACATAATATGCAACCAATAAATTGATTTTGTGTAACACAGTGTACGCAACTGGAAAGCACCCTTACAAAAACATCTGTAACGCCGCCAAGTCCAAACAATAGCTATTACGTAAACTATCACATACTTTGTGATTTCTATTTTACCATGTAAAAGTTATTTTGCGTGTGAATCCGTAATCATAAGTTTGAAGCAGATGTTGACAGACGTTTTGCTGTAGACTTAAGTTAGCGGCTAGCACTCCATAATTATATAAGGTTTGTTCGAGTTACTTGTACTATTCACACTTTTACACCTAATGCCCGTTGCACACTAGTGCACCTCATACAACACAAATTTTCCAAAATACGTTCTGAAGATACTTTTAGGACGGAGGGATGTCATCAGAATATTTTTAGGATGTCCTTTGAAGATGTGAGTTTTCTGAAAATAGTTAATATCCAATAAGTTTATTCGCATTAATTGAACTTTTTACACTTTCACACTTAGTGCACATTAATTCTTTAGAGGTTCTAAAAATGACGTCATGATTTCCGTTCGTGTTACGAGTGTAAATGCAATTCTAATACACTTTTTACACTTGATCCCAAGCAAGAGATTAAGTGTGAAAGTGTAAAAAGTTCAATTAATACGAATTAACTTATTGGATATTAGCTATTTTCAGACAATTGACACTTTCAAAGAGCGTCCTAAGAATACTCTGATGACGTTCCTCCGCCCTGAAAATGTCTTCAGAATGTATTTTGGAAAATTTGTTTAAGGTGCACTAGTGCAACGAGCATTAGGTGTAAAAGTGTGAAAAGTATAAGCAACTCGAACAAACCTATAGTCAAAGAGATAAAGTTAATCGGAGTTGAAGAAATTGGGCATTAGTCGGACGTGACAGTGGCAAAACAAAAACAAAAAAATCTTATTCAAATGTAAACAAACAGAATAAATCAAATTATTTCAACACCAACACCTATCAAACGGATAACCACTTGTTGACGTTATCTGAAAATAAGAATACAGATCGTAATTTTAAAAATCGTAGTTCTTTTGTAAGTTTTCAGTTCATTTGCGAATGCAAATATAATACTACATGTATCATATAATTGAACTTAAAGACTAAAATGAAACGCTGAATGAAGACACAAGTGAAACTAATTTCATACAACAACTGTTAATACATACCATAGTTACAATCATATTATTTGTGTATCGTATTATATTTGTAACTTAATGAGTTTATAAATATATTTACTGGCGTAATAGTTTTCATATTTTTCAATTGTCACTAATGGAAAAAAAATGTGAGAACTATTACGTCGATGAGTATAAATATGACATCTTAGGGTGCGTTCAGATTCCCTACCCGGGTGCACTCTGTTACTAGAAACGCTATAGTATATGTCACATATACTATAGCACTTCTTGTATTAGAGTGCACCCGGGTAAGGAATCTGAACGCAGCCCTTAAAGGCCAAATCACATTAGCGATTGGCGATTGATGATTGACGATTGAAGATTGGAACTTGGCCAATTGGAACAAAGCAAGCCAAGGTTAAAGCTCGTAAGTTTGATGAGTTTGATGGGTTTGACGAGAATATAAAGAGAATTATTTTATCTTATATATTAGTACGGAAAACACGGATATTTATACAAAATCAAACTATCAAAAGCTAAATGAATTTTACCAAAATTACTAATAAAATAAAATTTAATAAATTACTATTTTAACATAAGTAATTTTATCGTAAATATTCGTCACTTTAAATCTGAGAGCTAATTTTATATCTTTATTTCTATGTTATATTTTCAAGTAGTACGACTCAACGGCATATCAAACGAACTATTATTTGCAAAAATTTAATTTAATAACAGCTCAGGAGGATTTTCAAACTAAAACTAACGACTGCCTGTTGTTCGAAGCTTGTTGTGCCGATCATGTGTCTGTAGATAATAGACATATCCAAGGCATGCACCCTACGTACTGACGTGGACGCGCCTCGACGCGCTGACCTCGGTCAGAAACGATGAGTCGTCGTGATCTGTCGCGATATCAGCAATACTGGGCAGCAGCGGGTGAAAGATCGCTGTCGCTCATTATCACGTGTCACGTGAAATTAAACACTGGCATCTGAACAGCTATATCAGTTAGATGACGGCGAGGTGCCGTGTGTTGACAGGTCATGGGGGCCTGTCTCGGCCACTGCTTTGCGAAAGTCACAGATTCCCTGCCGTACAGGTTAGAATACTGAAGGTATTTGACAGGAGAACGTCGGCTGCTAGAGCATTACTCGTGGAGAAGGGTGTCGGCTGTCACATTTTGCTGAAAAGATCGTTGATTTTATTTGTGAGCGCGTGATTGAGCAACGGGCTTGTCGATGACTCATAACCGGAGAGTGTGTGACAGTTATAATTACAGTTGTGTGTGTTTGTGTATATCATAACTATAGTATTGGTACACAGCTGTAATACATGAATGAAAAGTCATACAAAATATATAAATATATAATAAATAATTAAATATATAATTTATAATTAAATATATAATTATAACTTTATAATTAATATATAATTATTTATATTAAATATATAAATATATAATTTATAACAAATATATAATTTATGCTCTGGTAGTTCCGCGGGGTTTTCTTTAATAATAATTTATCTAAGATTTATCAGATATCTCTCTCTGAATCTCTCTTTAACAACATATGCTTATTGAAAATTCTCTGTTGTTTATTACAGATTCCATCAAAGACATACCAGAATGTCTTTCCAAGGAGAAGAACAAGTTGAGGTATATATTTAATCATATCTCTTGTGGGATAATTTATATTTTGCTAATATTAATAATTCCAGTGTTACTTTTGCTTTGTGCTTAGTTCATGGACACCGAAAGGGATGAAAGTCAAACTAAAGGATCGAAAAGGTAAGATGTATTCACTTAGATTTGTTAGTTTTAATTGTAAATAAAAATTTACAATATTAATGTTATATATTTATTTACCATGCTTACTGGATGTATATAGTTTATTGTCATTCCTCTCTTTAAAAAAACTTAAGGTAAATATCTTATGAATATGACATATATATTAGAACATATTATATCTAATATTATCATATCATTATTAGGTTTGTGCAAAAAGTTTATTGTGCTTATCAAATAAAATAGATAACAAAACTATCCAGTTTTGAAGGATTAATTATTTTCATGAATAAAATAAATAACATTGATTCTATATTTTTAAGACATCTATAATAAAAACTTTTTATTTTTGTTTTGTTACCCAAATTTCTTATGATAATTTAATAGAAAAATAGCAAACCTTTTGCACTAATCTAATAAATACATTATATATTTTATATGTCATTTACTATAATAAAAATTTGTGTTATATGTTTGTGAATTTTAGAAAAAGCACGGTATTCCAGTAACTTTGGAACTGCTGGAAGATGGAGGATGGCCACGGGGTAATAACAAATATGCCAGATTGAGTTCTAGAAATGATGTTTCTACAAGGTACATTATCGTGCAATCTTAATAATAGGGGAGAAGGTACACTGAAAGAAAAATTATATTAAAATCAAGAAATATTTCTTTGATGGGTGCCATTAACATATTTACTTAAATCTACATTCTCTTTATTTAAATCAAATATTGTTTATCTGATTTAAATAAACAATATTTGGTTTAAATAAAGAGAACGTAGATTTAAGTGAATATGTTAATGGCACCCATTAAAGAAATATTTGTTGATTTTAATATAATTTTTCTTTCAGTGTAGGAATATGTGTATTATAGGGAATATGGTTTTTTATTTTAAACGAAAAATCCAATATTAAAAACAATAATTGCATCAATAATCAGAAATGTTAACAGATATATTTTTTTATAATGTATCCATATTCATTAGAAAAAGAAAAAGTTTAAAGTGCACAAATTTCTTTTAGCATGATGTAAGAAATGAAGTCTTAGAAAATAGTATGATTCTATGAAACAGACATGAAAATGAAAAATTTTCTTAATTTATCATCATTTTCACACCTGTGTATAAGACATGGTAATATGGAACACTTTGTCCCATATTATCATCCATCGCTATTTTCTAAACGAAAATCTCGAAGTAGAAAAAAATATTTCCAAACTAATTCTCTCTGTGATTTGGAAGTTTAATCTTATTACTAATCGACACATAATAATTAATATGTTATATTTATCTATTAAGACAGCAAACATTTTTTTTATCTTTGTGAAAAGTCTAAACAGGAAGTAGGCAAAGCGACTTTTCTTAATATTGCAAATAACATACCACTGGTATTAGACTCAGATGTTCATAATGATGGGAACGAAAGGAGTCTAATGTTTATGCTTATCTCAGTCTGACAGGTTGCAGTAATTGTTGAGAAAAAATCAGCCTTGTTTCTTATTATCACCTTCTCCTCTATATCTGAAACGATTATTCGTCTTACAAGAAATAAGAGATTATACAAATTAATTAGTTCGGGCCTGGATACATCGCTTCAAGTTCTCGACGCAAGAACTTTAATAAGACAACAAACGTGTGTTTCCTCCACTCCGGGATCGTCGTTGGACCTTGAGTGGGAACACGAAGGTAATCCACTATTATTCAATCTCCTACAATCTTGCAATATATTAATGTACCATATGTTCGCATATAGGAATGCCTTTACCGATCGTGGAGGATGAAAAGGGTGACACTGAGGGCTCTTCGTCGCAAACGTCAGTTAACAATAGTCAACCCTCCAGTCTGACAGCGTCTCCTTGGTCTCGTGTTTCGAGCCCGAACAGCTTGGAATGGGATCCGGTCGAACCAGACATGGTATGTGTTGATATGGATACCGAGCAGCTTCTAACTGAGATAGAACGATTGACAGACAGAGCGCTGAAAGAGACGGGCGAATGGAGTAGCGCTAACACTAGCTGATAAACGATCCAAATTGTGATTAATCGAATTGTTTGTATTTTTGTATCGTAAAGATTCTCGTGGGGCACGGAGTGCTCTGTACTTTTGACAAGCAAAGGAATAACCGTGTTGTTTCGATATCACACGAATTCTTGAAACAATATAACGACACGTTTATATCGTTTCAAAAACGTATGTTGTACAACTTAGAATGTTGAGCACAGAGATTGGACAAATACCTATGTTGCAATGTACCTTGTAATAATCTTTAATAAGAAACGAATTCCTATGCCAAACGCTTTATCGAATTTGCAAGATAAATATTTTGACGATACTTGCATATGTACGAGAAATTTATCATATATAAATAAAAAATGTATTTCCTGTTTCTAAATTTAAGGTAATTTTAAATTAAAATATTCGGCTCGCTTAAATGGGATTGCATTTATCGTGGACTTCAGTGGTTTTTAAATTTTGCTTATCTACAGCTTCCGTTTGACAATAATTTATTTCGTAAAAAATAAAGATGTAAAAAATACATGACGTCGTGTCGTATGATTGGTAAGTTTTTGGTACGTTGAGAGCATATTCTGTCTTATAATGTTATTATTTTCAAGTAATTTCCAAGCTATTCTAGAGAGATATTAGATGAATTTAAAAGATCATAAACAGAGTTTGAAGTTTACATAAAACGACAGATCAAATAATTAAGAAAATACGAAAAATAGCAAATGTACAAAACTGTTTTGAATAGCAGAGAATTGTTTTATTGTAGTGGAGTGCACACGAAAATATCTGAAGCAATTACGATATAAACGATACGTGTAGGATGCCTTAATGTAGATAATAAAAAGATTACGAAATTTTCTATAGCTGCGGATATGTTACCTACATTTTATATAATGCATTTTAATAGATTTCCGTTATATATTGCTGTACACGACCTAAATGTGACATACACACATATACACACAAGTTAAAAAAATGCGTTCATGTTTTCTTTCTTTTTTTTTTATATTCGTATGTTTAGAAGTAAGCATTGTCGGAGAGATGTGTCATATCAATTTAAAAGGAGATTGTAGGTCGATGAATGTAAACGCGAATGTGTGGAATTGAAGATCATCATTACATTTGGACTGTAATAAGTGTTAAGAGGTAATATGTTTATATGCTTTAATAAATAGTTACTTTATTATATATTTCTATGTACATACAAAAACTGAATTTAGCCTAAATCCTGTTCTAAATCCTCTCCTTAAGCGACTATATCATACATCGAGTTTTATTACACTGGCTATACACGTGTGTAAAGTGTACGAAAGTTACAAAGTTACTCGTATGTGTTTGTTAGGAAACAGTGTTGTTTAAAGATATCCCTTTTTTAAATGTAACTTACTGGGAGAAATAATAGCAATCATTTAGGCAGCTCAGAGAGAATATCTTTAAAAACAATTGTTATAAAAATTATTAAATTTTATTATATTATTAACTTAGCTTATCTACGCACTATTAAAATTTTAAATTATTTAGTATCGAGTGAAATAATATGTATATTTTGCTTACATTTAGAAAATTTCTCATTAATACATCAAGAAAAATAAACTAGTATAAATATATATATATATACTAGTGTGACATATATATATATATATATATGTGTGTGTATATATATAGTAAATTATTTAATATATATATTATATATATATATATATATATATATATATATATATAAAATTGTATATATAATATATATAAATTGTAAATTTAATTACAATTAAATTTACAATTTTAATATATAGACAGATATAATTAAAATTATACTGAAATTGTAATTATTTAATACATTGACAATTTATTAAATTGACTAAACAAAAGAATTCAATCACTTATTTTACAATGACGAAATAAATTTTTGAACATTTACGAGATACAAGTGCGGTTTATAGGAACAAGGTGGACATATATATATATACTAACATATATTAATACTTATTGACTTATATGTATTACATTTTTATGAAAACCGGATAGTCTGCAATATATTACATATACGTGCATTGTTTGTAATATGAATCAAATTGTTTTTTGTAAGCTTAGAAACGATATCCACAAAACGTGTATAAAATTTACTTCGTTTCAATAGCACCACATTCGCGCGCGTGGCATATATGAGTATGTATATACATACGCAGTGTACATGTATATATATACATACGAATAAATTAAACAAGAAACAGTCGTCGTAGTATCAGGAGAATAATCGCTGATACTAAACTGGCAATAAGAATACTCCAAAATAAATCGTTCGAAGAGGACATTGTCTCTACGGGGTTTAAAATAATATCTGGTTGCTGCCGGTCTACGTTATCCGTGTTCGTTTCCACATTACGGTGTCGTATTTCGTTCTCGGATACACCTTCCCCGTTATTATCCATAAATAATGTGTCTGACGTGGGTGAGTCATCGGCCTGTAATAATTTCTTTCGTAAACACTTGACTGTTAAGTTTTCGCGCATGCTCGCTAAAATTGTTCGCAGACTTTTTCAATCGTGCGACAACTAAGTTTAGAAACGGAATTTGCAGAATTACTGATAGGAAACAGTTATCAGTCGCTTACCTTCAGAGCGATAGTTTTCAACATGTTTTGTTCTTCCTCAGTGATAGGCTTCTTCACAGAGTTCTTGGATAACAAGTTCACAACTTTACCACATGTCTCGCATTGCCAGTTCTGTGATCTGTGATAGGAAGATTTGTTAGAAAAATACATATAACATCCTTTTTGTAATATTAATATTATAAAAATTAAAATAATCGCAATATATGATAATATAAATTATTATATAAGTTACATGAATTATATTAATTGTAAATAAAAAACATTATTACTTTTTTGCAAGCTTTTGTCGCTCTTCGGTGCTGTAGTCTAATGCGCCTATAGTGCCACTTCCTGGTGTAGGCATAAAGGCGATCAAAGCTAGCAATGCAGTCCTGATACTCCAGGATGGCTGCCACGTTTCGGGATGGTGACCAGAAATACTCAGGCAGATTTTCTTATTTATCTCAAAACGTCCATTTGGCTACATCAAGGGAATATATCCAGCCATTATGATATAAAGTAGTAAGCACGTGTTGCTTAAATACTATCCAGTATTTTAGAAGTCGATTCTTGAAGTCGCATTTTATGAAAAGAAGTTCATATAAACATATGGTATCAAGGACTTTTTCTCAGCAATACAATGTGATGGAAAGTTTTATATTGAAACACAACTATCTCCCAAATTAATAGCTTTATCGAAATCTATATCAACAATATTTTTTTTATAGATAATTAATATGTTAATAAGAGTCTAAAAAAATATATGATTCCATTCACTGGCATACAAATTCAGAACAATGCATTATCTAAATCCCTTTTCTACGTAATTGAATTCTTACAAAACAGTATTATAGGTAAAAAAATGAAGATAATATTCTGCTTAAGTTTATGAGCTATTAAGAAGAAAACAATAATTTTATAGAACTCTGTGTCCCTGAAATGAGGATTTTTAGATTTTATGTTCATATGAACTTTTCTCTATAAAATGACCTGAAAAATCAATTCTTAAAATATTGAACAGTACTTAAGAAATATACATATATATATATGCACTCATTGAAATTCAGACATATTTTATCTTAGACATAGGCTCACCGTTAACAGAATGATATTCGGTGGCTTCATAGGATATTCTGGTGGTAGCAAGATCCTTCCATGATAAACACCACCTTCAAAGTCTGTAGATGGTGGCCCTTGTACTGTGAAATGCCATTCGAACAAGTTATCCTCCAGGGGATACGCACAGTACTCTTCAGTGGCTTCGTGCAGCTCTTGTGCCTCCCTCATTAATCGCTTCACCGCTGTATGGTATAGAATACATAATGAATTTTTACAGTGCTTAAAATTTACACTCACTGTGATATGAGCACGTGAACTGAAATATTCTTTTGTCAAAGCAAAAATGCATCAGACTTACTTTGCAAAACAGATATAAGGAAAAAAACATGTACTAATTCTGGACATTCTCATTGTTTTTGGTCTTTAAGCGCGAATATTTCAATGTAGAACATATGTACATATATTCAACATATGTACATATATTTTAAATTTTAAATATTCCAAAGTCCTAAATTAAATTCTAAAGTTTAAATATTCGTGTTTAAAGACCGAAATAATAAGAATGTGCAGAGTTAGATATCAGTGTTATCAGTATTATATTGGTATGTTACGCTTACTGTTGCAGATATAATACATAATACGTACCACCACTTTATCTAGTCGCGTCACTGACGCAACGGAGAGATAAAACGGCGGAGAATATCAGCGACTATTGCAAACCCGACTGATCGTGTACTGTTATACAGCAGCTACCTGGACGCGTTAAAGCCGCGAGACGTCGTGTCTCGACGGGTCAAAACAAAGCACCGGCGCAAATTCGCGTGTCAACGTAGCCTCGACGACACTTACCTGGGCTCTTCGCGTTGTACTTCCCCTCGAATGACATCTTCGGCGCCGACTCGTCCGCTCTCTAGCTTCCCGACTAACCGTCTGACAGCTCGTTGTCCACCCGTCAGTCTCTTTAGCCGAGGTTAAAAATCGTGCAAATAGAAATACGAATAAAACGCTGCGTGAGACTCTCACTCACTCCCTCTTTCTCTCGTTTGCTCCCCTTTCGCTATTTTTCTCTCGTTCTCCACAAATGTAGCGGGTTCGTTACACACGTCTCGCTCACATATTTGTTATCACACGCTTCTCGCCGATCCCCGAGCGTTTTCCCCGTCGTGCGAACCCAGACGTGGCTCGATCGCGCGGCCGCCGCGTCGCAAAATGTGACGTGAACTCGCCGCGGATTCGCTCGCGCCGTCTCTATTTATCGCCGCCCATCCTGCACTGAAGTTGCCCCGCGACCACGTCACGCAGCGGTGGTTGCATATTGCCAGCGAGGAATCGAATCGAATCGAGTATTTCGAATTCAGCAGCAGCAATGCGTAAAGTCCCACCGTCCACACGCTCGTCCCTTTCCGGGATCATCGTCCTAAACATGACGCGGCGAAGGGAGCCTGGCGTCGGCCGGCGTCGGCGCGCTTCGTCCTCCGCGCCCGTTTGTGCGAAATTCGAATCGGATCGAAATTACCGGCTTCGGCCTCGAGCGTTTCGTGGAGCCGCGCTTCCTGTCCTTCTCGTTGCCACGTTTTCCCCGATAACCCCGTGCTACCGACGAGATACTATAAAAGACCGTCGGCCTTACGGCCCCTTTAGCGACCCCGAGAAATCTGACCGTATATTTTTATATTTTACTTTTTTCTTATATCCTATGTTCTTAGTGTTATCTTACTTACATCGTCTTGTCTCTTTCTGTCAATACGATTTCGGCACAATACTCCGTCCAGTATTATATGTCGATGATGTACTCTTACGAAAAAAATACGAAAAAATCCTCAATTTTGGGTGTAAACACCCAAAAACTGGGGATAAACACTTAAATTTGAGTGTTAACACCCAAAATTGAGGGTTTTTTTCGTATTTTTTTCGTAAGGATAGTCACACGGATAAACAGAAGCGTCTTTGTGTGAAAAATAGTCGATATTGTCATCGTTCTTCAATTACTTCCGAGTCCCTCCGGGTCTTTTGGCCGGGTCGAAAATTTACCCAGGGCTGACAGTCTTTAATAATATCTCGTCAGTGTCCGTGCTTTCGCAGATGTGAGTTTTTCTTGCGTTCTTTTATTTTCCGTTTACAAGCGGCTGCTCCGCGCTTTGAACGCTTCGCCGTTACTTCGCGAATGACTCTTCGTCTTTAACTTAGAATCGCGGGAACAGCTTGGCGCTGCATCTCCCGGAGTATTCGGGATTCAAATGTAATACTTTTTACGACGCTAATAATAGTAAGGTACAAAGTCGATTATGAAGACAAGCGTCATAAAAAGTCTCGAATAATTTGCATTGTTTTGATCAAATAAATATTAAACAACAAACGTCTATATTTATGATAATTAATTAATTGTTCCCATTTAGAAGACTATTTTAAATTTAAAAAATTGTTTTGCACACATTCACCCCGTGCTTGGCTCTTATAGGCCCTATTTTATTTTGATTTTTAATCTCAAAGCCTTTTAACATGTTTTCTTTTTAACAGTAACATTACGCCAATGTTATAATTTCCCACTGAACATTACTGTTATAATATATGTTATATTACATTTGTATTATTGAGTGAAAAATCATAACATTGACGTGGTTTCAGTAAATAGTCCAATTAACAATAATGTTATGTTACATCAATTTATTGATGATTTCTCGCTCAAAAACTGTTATATACATCTATTATGTTACAGTTACATTGCTGAATGAGAGATTAGAACATTGATGTGATGTTATTGTTTATTGGTGTTTACTGGGTAAAGAATTCGCGTGTTTACCCGAACTGACAGTATTATATCAATATTATAATTTCCCACTCAACACACCGTAACCTGTTCCATACAACATATGTTACATTGCACTAACATTGTTGAGTTGGAAATTATAATATTAATTATATAATGGTACTGTTGATTAGTGTTTATTGGGTGAAGAATTTCGCGTGTTTTTCACTCAGTAAACATCAAGTAACATCAACTAATATCACACATTAATATTTTAACTTCTTACTCAACATTGTATATTACATACAATATATGTTGTATTGCACTTATATTATTAAATGAGAAATTATAATATTGATGTAATGTTACTGTCAGTTGATGTACAAACAGCACGAAAGCAGATCCTGAATATTATTCTGAATATGTCTAGAATATCCTAGGAATATCCTGAGAGCTTTAAAATGTCTTGAATAAAGTAAAAGTATGTCCAAACACGTACCTGATTACTATTATTTTAGCCTTAAAAAATACGAATATTTAAACTTTAACATAGGAATATCCTAGGAATATTCAGCTTTAAAATATCTTGAACATTAATCTATAACCATACTAGATAGAGCACACTTGCCTGTCACACTTCCTCCATGGTACTCAACGGGCAGAAAGAGATAGTTAAATGAACATCGTTGTCTCTTTAGTGTGAACAATGCGCGACTGTTACAGTTGGTTAGATAAGAATAGCGGTATCTATTTAACTATTTCTCTCACACAGTTCTGCCCGCTCGAAAACAAAGGAGTGTTATCCAGTACTCTATCCAGTATGATTATAAATCAATGGTCTTGAATAAAGTAAAAGTATCTGTGCCCAAACACGCACTTGATCCCAGACATTGCTATTATTTTAATCTTTAAAAAAATATGGATATTTAAACTTTAACATAAAAAAAATACACACACACACACACATATATATATATATACATATTTATATTCTAGGTTGAAATTTTAAATTTTAAGTATTTAAAGACCAAAACAATAAGAATGTCTAGGATTAATTTTGAGAATTGCTACTTCTACCTTGTTCACGATAATTTCAGGATACTTTGTGCTGCGTGCTTATTGGATAAATCAGCCCGTGTTATTCGCGCAAGCATAAATCGAATGTATGATGAATTTATTGTATTCTTTAACATGCATTCTTCGACATACATCCGATACGGTACATGCAAATATTCTCTGTTATCAGTTTCGTTAACATGGCCTTTTAAATAGATGTATTTTATCTTATCGAGCTGGGGACTTTAATATATTTGCTTTGCGTTTAAGTTCTATTTAAATACGTTTTATCTTTTGAACCTATACGTGTAAGAACCACATTAGACGAAGATACGTTTTTTGAGCGATTGACTTCGTATTTGTTTTCAATCGCAGCTATTAAGCGGTGAATATTTTGCAATGTTTGCGACACACTCGCCAAGTCATTGAACGCTCGGAGGAAGTGTTCGTGGTTGAAACATCAATATGCGATACGAGAGATCGTGGAAATTATAGACTTTATTTTTAGAATATTCTGAATATCATAAAACAACGTAAACATTCACAACGGATGGGAATAGGGTGTTATTTATAATAGTAATAATAATGTCATTATGTTTTACCGTAATAATTAATCGTTACGAATATATCGTCATGACATATTTATAATTATGTATAAGTAAGATTTCCTTTTATTTATTTTAATAATTACTCATCGTATCTCTTCACACGACAATGATAATTATAATAGTGAAGACGATATCAATAATGATAAGAACCGTGTAACGTTAACCATAATAATGATAATAATAATAGTACCGATGCGTCTATATACGTGTGTGTGTGTATGTATTATGTCTGTTTGTTTCTTATGTGTGCGTGCATGCGTGTGTGTGTTTCTGTTTGTGTGCGTGTCATCTGTTTATGTATATATAAACAAATATAATATATATGCTTATTTTCTTAAGAAGGGGGATAGAGTCACAATGGCGCTAAACAATGTATGCAATGCAGCTCGCTTTGTCGTTTTCCTCGATCAGAGAGAGTCTCACTTCTATAAAGTCGTATTTAGCCAAAGATCTTAGGAGTAAGTCTCGTAATAGTAAGTAGATAATAGTAAACGCACGTATATATGTACAGTTCTTTTCTCGTGTATGTGTGTGTGTGTGTGTGTGTGTGTGCGCGTGTGAATGTGTACACGTGTGTTTTTCCTTCTTCCTTTTATTGATCGTTGAATATCATTCGTCGAATTCCGCGAATACATAAGTGAGTTCTATTATGAGTGTCTCGCATAAAACGATGACTTTAATTCGCCCGATGAATGCGCCTCGGATGTTATCTTCGAGTTCTTCCTTTTCCGTAATATAGAATGAGTGTCGAGTCAGCACTAAGATACGCACGAAATGCACGTTTTCGGGAAACAAAACTTCGAATTTCACGGGTTCGCCAGTGGCACTTAGTTATCGCTTCGCGATTAAATAGGGAGAGCAACGATAACGCACGCAACCTGCTCGATACGGATAGGACTCTCTTCGGTCGACTTCGCGAACGTCGCTCGAGGTTTCTCGACGTGCTCCTTACGTACTTACTAAAGAAATATCTTTGTCCGCGTTACAAGAGAGAGACGGTAACGCAGGAAGATATTCGGAAATCCATTACGAGTAAAGAGACTGACATCACCCGATCCCAATCAAGCTAACCGACAATTAACTCAGCTCGCAGATTGCCAACAAGAAAATAAAACACAGTTTCATATTTTGTTATTAAAACGAGGAAGAAAATCTTTTCTTTTGTCTCTATAATTTATATTAATAAGGTTTTTTAATTGCTTGTGATGCTGAAATATTAATTGTTACAAGAAAATATAGAATAGAACGAGTAAAAAATCTCTTGTCTTCTCTCTTTATAATTAACAGAATCTTAATTATTCAAGATATTAATTGTTGATTCAAGATATTAGTTGCTGATATTAATTGTCAAACAAGTTAAGACAATAAAAAATAGAATACAGTTTATTATTAAAATAAGGAAGAAAATTTTCTTTTCTTTTACAATTTATACTAATAAAGTTTCTTAATTGCTCAAAATATTAATTGTTATTAATCGAATATGAATTGACAGTTTGTTATTAAAACGAGAAAGAAAATTCTCTTTTTTATCTCTATAATTTATATTAATCTCTTAATTGTTTAAAATATTAATTGTTATCAACCAAGTATAAGTTGGAAGATTGCCAATAGAACGAGTAAGAAAAATCCCTTGTTTTCTCTCTTTATAATTTATATTAACAAAATTTTAATTACTCAAAATATTAATTGTTATCAGTCAAATATAAGTTGAGAAATAACTAATAAAAAATAGAATATAGTTTGTCGATTAGAACGAGTAAAAAAATGTTCTTGTTTTCTCTCTTTATAATTCATATTAATAAAATATCAATTGCTCAAGTATTAAGTGTCATCAATCAAGCATCAGTTGCTCCATTTCGTCAACACACAGAATTATTTATCGTTTGGTCATTACTGAGCGACAAATTACATAGCGGTTTTAGTTGCACAACCATCGTAGCTATGGCTAGAAACTGTCGTTGGCAATTCCGCTGGTTAACCGTCGATTGGTTTACTCAGAGTTTGGTGAGTCGCCCTAATTGCTTCAAGGAAAAGCACATTGTATCATTTTCTTCGGCAAATGTACCCCCTTTCCTCGGAGGTGTCCCTCTTTGAAAGTCGATCGCGTTTGCACGTCAATTAGCTTCAATTTGTCGAACGGCCTATCGTTTCTCGCGCTCATTTCCGAAAAGATTTACACGTCACATCCATCGGGCGATGCTCGCGCGAAAGGAACGAGAGAAACCAAAACTACGACACCCTTTTTTCGTCTTTTTCCTCAAAAAGTAGTTAAAGTCGCACTCCTACGCGTGCGTGTGTACGTGTGCATATGTGTTGTGTGTTTGTTCTGTGTATACGTGTGTTCCTCTTTCTCTCGCAGC